AATACAGAGAATTCAATAAAAGTAATACAATAGAAACAAATGTAAAACCTTTCATATATAATTTGCTTCGAATGTGATGCAGTGGCTTTAAAAGTCCACACAAAGCCTGTCAAAATGGAGGGTTTTTTGTGACATCATAAAGATACATTTTAATAAATCATTTTTAATGTTATATCCTGCCCAATTCACTTTTAAAAAAATAAAAAACAATGGGAATATTTGAAAAAAAAAAACAACAACAACAATAACACTAACCTAGTTTTATAAATATGCATGTTATTAAACCTTTCATTTAATAATGGAAAGTTTTATTTTTTTAAATTTTGGTTATAAAAGACCCCAAAAATTTAGCCCTGGATTAAGCTAAGGTTATCTTTAAATGAAGCAATTGTTTTTGTTAATGTTCATACTCAATGAAAAATGTTGGTAATTTCATCTACCTTGACAAGAAGGAGCATTTCAATGCATGAAGAAGCAATCCCAGACCACTATGTCACGACCACCATGTTTTACTGTAATCCTCAAATGCACTTCATCAGGAGATAACACATTTTTCTACAAGCTTTTCGAAGATTCAGGCTGGCCTGGAAAAAAATGCATTAGCACTGAAACCCCAGTCCCTGACCCAGGCATACGTAAAATACAAAACATTTTTATCAGGTATTGAACAAAACTAATAGCTGACAGAAATTTCTGCAGATCCATTAATGTTGCGGTGGGCCTTTGGGAGTCTCCCTGGTACATTGTCTATTGTCCTATTTTTATCCTATTATAGACAAATCTTTTCATTCTGGCTCATTAAATGCTGTGAAACTTTTGCACCCTTCTCTTGACTAATACCTTTTTACAATGAGATCTGTTGATCCATTATAACCTCTCTGCAAACTTTATTTATAGCTATAGGATGCAGATGGGTACATGTCCTCGAAATCATACTAGTAAAACTAAATCTTGTTCAGGTTAGTGAAATCCACTCTAAATCATTAGATCTGTAGCCAAGAATACCAACTATTGAAAAAGTGCACATAACACTATCAGTTGAAATCTGCATCACAAATGCCTCATGAAAGGTGGAAAACATTTAGATTTTTTTTTATTATGGTCTGTACTGCTGTTTTGACTTTTAAAACAGATCCGGTTTCTAACAGAAATGTAAAGAAATTGTCTGATTTGTTTCCTGTAGTGTTGGTAAGGTTAACCACACATTTAGGAAAAGAGTCTGAACCTACTGCTCTGCTTTGGACTGCGAGCCAAGTTTGAGACAAAGTCCACAGCCCTCCACTGGGTTATCAAACTGTGGCCAAGGCATTCATCCATCTGTGGAAAACATGGACACTGTTCTCCCACACTGCACAGCTCAGCCTTTATCTACAGATGGTACTACTGAGCAGGAATGTGACCTTTGATTTAGTTTCTCTCACGGAAAAGAGCTTACTGGCGAAAAGAAAAGGGGAAAAAAATGCGAGAGGGAATAGCTGTTGCCTCCCAAACTGGACAAATGAGCACATGCTTGTTGGCGTGGATCAGATTGGTTTAACCCAATTTAAGAATTTAGATAAGTGTCCACCGTAAGTGTCCCCATGTGAGGCCCATTTCACCAGATAAATGAGGGAGCGATGGATTCCTCCCATCACTACACGTGCACCGACTCTTCAGAGAATTGCACAGAGATGTGTACCATTCTGGAGACGCACCAATTTGGGAAAGACGTGAGCAACTGAGCAATTTGATATTGGGCTAAACAGATTGTCGCTGACCAAAAATGGGAAGATATGCGTGCCAATGCTGTCAAATACACTTCTTTGAACTTCTTCAGTTCCGTTTTATTTCTGAACATTCACCACAGACGTAGCAGGCAGAGGTTAGTTGTCCATATTTGCAAAGATGTTTGCTGAGTGAGCTGAGACAACAGCAGCTTGTTCTCTCCTTTTTATAGAGAGGGGCCACTTCCTCGAGAGCAGCCAGCAGTAATGAATGAGGAATCAACTCGGGGTCACTGGTGCAAAATCATCCCCCATGTACATTCCAGCTCCGCCATGTGCTTCACAAAAGCATACAGCAGACGAGCATGTGTAGAGATTTGGTGCATATTAAAGTAAGATTTTTTTTTTTTTTTTTCATGTAAGATTAAGCATTTCTCCCAATCCATTACTATAGCCTCTCCAAAATATTTTTTTCCTGACAGTAATGTACATTCTATAACAAGCTGAACTGCAACAGGAAAGTCTCAGTGTGCAGCTCAGACAGAGGGTTAACTAGATTTAGACAGGAACTGCAATGTACTGACAAAACGCCACCTGAAGCCGGCACAGCGTTATTTGTCATTTCAAAGTGGTTCCAGCTGAGTTTGTGTGGACAAAATTTAAACAGGCTGATGTAACTCTCCGTTATTAATGTATTTATTTGGTTTTGTTATGTAGAAGCTGCAGTCCTCGAATCCAAAGTCCTGAATCTTTTAGATGTGTCTCTTGTCCAACACCCTTGAATTAAATGACGAAACTGCTTCATGAACATGCAGACAGGTTCTATAGAGCTCTGCTAATGAGCTAATACTGGAGCCAGGCATCTCTTCAGCAGAGCACATATATCTAAAAGTTGCAGTGCACTGGCGCTTGAGGACTGGAGTTTGAGGCCACTGATGTAGAAGCAGCCAATACAATCTTACCTCTGCTGCAATGTCACTGTAAAGCAGAGGTCTTCAACTCCAGTCCTGGCGTCCTGTAACTTTTAGATGTCTCTCTGCTTCAGCAAATGAGTCAAATAATGAGGTCAGTAACAGCACTGTGGAGAACTTGATTGCATGCTGAGGAGGTAATTCAGCCATTTTATTCAGGTGTGTTGTACCAGGAGCACATCTAAGTGTCACAGGACACCATCCCTAAAGGTCTGGATTTGAAGACTAATGTTGAAAAGACTGAACAGTTGAATATTAAATATTCCGCCATATTCTGAATGGCTGGAATATGCCTCTATTAATGCAAATGAAGGATGATCTGATTTCCATAATGGAATAAAATTAAAAGGATTTATTTAGCAAGCAAATATAAGGTCTATTATTTACGTGAAGCATAATCACATAACTAATCACAAACAGTACTACAGTTAAAAGATGGAATGAATAAATAAACTTGGACAATTAGTGTGGTAATTCTACTTTTATTTTGCAAATTATAATATTAAGTATTTAATATTTTTGTATTATTTTTTATAATCTAAGGTTGAATACTTTTTGTGGAAATGAAAGAAATGCAAATTATTGAGTTTGTGTCTCTCTTGGTAGTCTAATTTGAGTTATATGTAGTGATTACAAGTGATACGTTTTCAATGGCCAAAAGCTGTTGAAATGTTTTGTTTTCCATTTCTCTGTGAAAAGTTTCTGTTGCAGCTAGCCACCATGTAAAAAAACAACAAAAACAGAAAAAAAAAACATGACTTATGCACATGATATTCTTCAACGTTTTGTAGGAGGCTTAAGCTGTTTGAAACTCAGACATTTAGCTTAGTGTGCTGTTGAATGGACAGTGAGCACCGTTGTTAAGTCAAGAGCCGTCTTATGAAATCTTAGAAAGGCGGGACATCAATATGTGAACATTTATTTTGAAAGAACTGCATATTTAATGAGATGTCCTATTTTTATCACATGACTGCATGCAGAGAAGTAATATTTACATCTTGATCGGGAATACACCGAATATTTCTATCACTATAAAACTCAATATTGAGCAAGTCTTTTCTCAAAGAAAAAAAAAAAAGGTTTTAGAGTCACAGCAAAAACAACTTTGTGGTCACTGTTACATAAGGTATGTATCCATGTATCTTTTATGCAGGTGAACCTCTACTCTGCTTGGAGGGCCCCTGATGGAGAAGTGACTACATGAGGATGCCAGAACACTCTTCTGCAGCTCTGCCAAGCAGGTAATTCACAAGCAGAAGCGGCATAAATAAAAGATAATGGGCTGCAGCTGACTTCTTTATACTGCATGCAATTTCACTAATTCCTCCAAGTGAGAGTCTTTTGAAACCAAGGATTCTTGAATTTTTCCCTTTTTTCAAATCTCAGCCATCTTAAACTCTCAAAGTCTGTTAATTGTGCAGCGGCAACGCGAGTTCTGCACGTGTAGTGGGCAGGTGGCAGTAAAAACAGTGCAGGCATGGAGCAGCGTTCTGCATCTAATAGAAAGTGTCTTACTCTGCACTCGAAGGGCACTTGAGGTAGTGGCAATAAAGATTAATGGTTAATTTAACACTGACTGTCGTGATTTTATCAATAGGCAATAACATGCATTGTGTCTTCTTTCATGCAGTCAGAATGAAGATATCGGCCGCTTTAAAGAAAGCAGATCTTGAGTTGAAATGATAAAACCACACACGTGCCAGTGCAAGATATTTGGAACAGTATGCGTCCCTAATTATTCTTATTTACTCTGGCTTTAACACTTTTGGCTGACAATTCTGTACACTGGCATAACAAGTGGCTTACTCTTCCGGTAGTCACCAGGCAGGCAGGAGTTGCCAGGAAACCCAAGTGCTCTCCACAGAGCATTGAAGAATATGCTATAAAGTGTGTTTCTGCTAAAAATACAGCAGCAACTGGTTTGATGACTAAGTGTGCTGAGAAGCCGCCTGGCTCCTGAGCTCTAAAGGTACAATATCTATGGGAAACACTGGAGGTCAGCACTGGTGGTCAGGAGCGACTGCAGGCATGCCTGTGCAGATAGGTTTTTCTTGTCCGTTGACTCACACAAGAGAAGCCGAACTTATCAGGGAGCACAGACCTCCTGTTCCCTATCTGTGTGATGACTAGAAGGAAATTGTTACTTCTTCCTGACTTGTTTATCTACTCTTGCAGTATTTACACGGCAAGCCATGCTCCAGAAATGAACATATTTTAAAATCGGATTCCAGCCCTGAAATTATTAATGTGGTCCCAATCTAATGAGTCTGAACGCAGGTTTTGAGTAATAAATCATAAAGGGGGGGGGGGGAGAATTCCCACTCACCTCTACAATGTCAGAGTTGGTTCTGCTCTCATGGGGCTCATTGTACTCTGTGTATTTCAGCAACACTTTGTCCATGTCTGTGCTGGCATACTGGAACAGTTTGTTAGAGCTGTTGAAAATGATGAGGGCTATCTCGCAGTCACACAGTACGCTCAGCTCGTAGGCCTTTTTCATCAGGCCGAACTTCCTCTTTGTGAAGGTAACCTGCAGAAGGGACACAAAACAAAACCATCCATCAGAGAGAGAAAAAAAAAAACAATTTCTCTCACTGAAAAGGGGGATCAAAGTAAATTTAATCAGACAGTTAAGATGTACCTGTAAAATTTGAACAGGTGTAAATAATTTTTCATACAAACCGAAGCAGAAATTCATCTTTAAAAGGAGTAACAATGTCGTTAAGCAAATGCAGAAATACAACCACAACTCTCCCCAGTGCATTCAAATTAGAATTCATTTAAAGAATATGAATCAGAATATCATTACTATGTCATAAGGAAGTCATATAATATAGATTCATCACACAGAGTAAAATTTTCCAAGAGTTTATTTCCTCCAACACTAAAAATTGTGGTTTATGGCTAAGGAAAACTCAAAATTTAGCATGTTGATTTCCTCCATGGAACAACACCCTAATGCAGTAATTTGTGAAAAAAGGAATCCTACTTAAGTTCTGAATGCATACAACTTATAGTACACGGACATACTCTTCAGGAGCTTTACACTTTTCTGTAAAAAGTCTTACACGAGTTTTACACGTCATCATATGTAAGATTATAATATTCTGACTAATTGAATTTTAGGTTTTCATTAGGTACAAACATAAACGTCTAAAGCAAAAAATCAAATAAATCAAAATCTCGTGAATTAAATTACTGAACAAAATTGATGCTTTGTTAATGTGCCCTTGTGTGTAGAAGACATATTACTGGACATATTACTCCAACCTGAATATGTAAGGCACTTTTATCTATGTAAATGATAAAGATTTTGTGAATTTGTTCTTCTTTTTAGACAATATTAGTATTGCAGGCCATCATCCAGACATGTTTTGAATGTCAGAAAAACATAATATCTACACTCACGTAAGATAGAAAAGTTTCTAAATTACATTTGACCATGATCAAATTTATAGCAATACTGCAGCAAACAAGATGGCCACTAACAAGCTCACCCATGCTTTGCTGTGATTGGAATAACATATTGCATGTCTGAAACATCTAGTTATCAGGCCAGAGGTCAGAGTAAGCAAGCTGAGTCAGACCTTTGGCAGCAGCACGAGTCCATACATTACTGTGGCCCCTGACTCCATGTACGGAAAGCTATCACTGTAGTGCAGAATAAGCCGTGTAACACGAGCAGTCAGATGGGACTTTGGGTCATACATCACTCCAACAGTAACGCAACCCTCTCTGCAAAGTGATTCTCCGTTCTGTATCTCTGCAGCTCTGTGGTTGCCTCTGACCCATTCACATATGTCATTATGTTTCACCACCTCCTTACAGAGCGACTGCATTCATTTCTAAAACCAGAAACTAACTTACAAAGATGGACAAGGCAAACAAACTTGTTTTCTCCTTTAGCTGTTGGAAAAAAAAAAAAAAAAAACATCTAAACCATACTCTTGGTATATTGGACCTTTACTTTGTGGAGTGAATCCAAATAAATATATAAAATGTTATGCTTTATAGACACAGAGTGGCGTATGGGTCTGTACTCCATCATATCCACTGACCTACTAATAGAGGAGTTGAGCAGATGATCGGGCTTTGCTTGACCTTAATTGGCTGCAGCTTCCCGTTTTTCTCCTGTTTTCATAACTGATATAAAACACAGTGTGGACTCTGTGTCACAGAGTTTGTCTACGACCGCAGCGGCAGTGGGGTCAGTCCAGCTGTGATAAACGAATTTCAAATTTTCCACACCGCAGGTAATTACAAAGCACCATTATTCCTTTCGGGGACACAGAAGAGCCTGTCCTTTTATCATTTTCTATTCAGTGTACTAATCTGACAAACCAAATTCTAAAATGACATTTGCTGAACAAAAACAGAACTGTGCATTTCATTCTGCTGATGCTTTAAAGGAGCACACAGCATGAGGTTTGGGCGTGGGGGTCTTAAACATTGAGTTTCTGCTCTGTTTCAAACTACTTGGTGAATCTCCTGCTCTAACACCGGCCAGCCGACGGTAATGGGGAATCTTAATGACTTAAACTAGAATCAAAAGGTTATTTTTTTTTTACTAATTTAATTCAAGAAGTGATACTCATACCTTGTGTTTAAACATTAACACAGATTGATACATTTTGTGTATAATTTTGATGGTTATGGCCTACAACAAATGAAAACCCAAATTAGTTTCTTCAGAAAATGACAATATCACATGAACAATTAAAAAAAAAAGATTTGAACTGCTGTACTGGAGTAAAGTATTTCCATCTGACTTCAAACGTCAGAGACATCAACAATATTCTTCCTTAAATCGTCAGTAACTATGGAAGCTTCACACAAGAAGCTTGGATTCTGCACCTGTTTATTTCCAAACAAAATAAAAAATGCTTTCATCTAAACTGAGAACTTGGGACCACTGAGCAACAGTCCAGTCCTTTTTTCTCCTTAGTCTAGACAAGAAACTTTGTCACTGGCTCAATACAAGCTACAGCAGTCGCAGTCCATATCCTGTATACTTCTGTCTAGTGGTCCCTGAACCAAAGACTCACGTAATAGTCCATGGTTTCTGAATCTTCCACAAGCTCTCAAATAAGCTTTTCTTCACAATCCTCTTAAGGCTGTGCACTTTTTTTCTACCACACATTTTTTACTCCCACTGAACTTTCCAATAATATACTTGGACACAGGAGTCTGTGAAGAGCCAGCTTCACTTTGAAAACGTGGACCTTCAAGAGCCCAGGAGAACTTGGACTCATGCAGGACAGGTTGACAAATGTACCAGTTGCCAACGTAATCAGGAAAACCTTCACAAAAGTAACCTATTAAAGTTAATTTAATAATTCCTCCTGCTTGTGTCTTAGCTAGGAAATAAAGTATGTACATGTAACGGATTTTGTAAACAGATCGGCAAATAACCGATCTAGTCTTTTTTTGCTTGTAAATACAATATCAAATGTCATTGACAGTAGAATGCATTAGAAAATAAGCAGTAAAATCAAAGATGAACAATGTGAACAGGAGGCCAGTGATGCTGTGGTGGATGGTGGGCCTTACGGGAGGTGGAGGTAAAATTCTCCTTAGGGTCTCTTACAACCGTTGGGCTAACTTTGGCTCTGACTGAACACTGGAGCTACCAACTCGCTCATTCATCTGCTTGCAAATTTGTTTATTTGCCTAACCAACTAGAAAGCAGGGCCTGCCATGTGGGGAAACGATTAACAAATTGTGTGCTCTTTAGTAGATGAATGTTGCCGTTAAGCCGAGGAGATGTCACCTTTCAGCAGGAAGCCCAGGATGAGACGCTGAGCGAGGACTTTGTTCCACCTGGATGCATAGCAGAGTGCTGAGTGCAGGGTTCCTGACCCAGGCACAGCTCCATTTTAACCTGAGCAGTTGCTCTGACACCTGCTAATTCTTGATTCCTTACCCCATCTTCAGATATTCTATCTGTACAGAAATACAGTTTCTGGTAACTGTGACATGAAACATAAGAGTGATATTACTCACATGCAGCTACGTATTTATATTGTGCTGTCTTCATTTGCCTCCGTTTTTCTCATTCTGACAACTGTCTAAGAAGTCTGGCTTTGTTTCATCAAAGCTCTCCAACATTTGCAAATATAACCTCCATCCACCCCCATCTCACCTCAGATGACTGGTGCGACAGTGGAAAACCACAGACATCCTTGAGGTCAAGTGGGAGGTTTACGGGTAAAGCTTTCCTATGGTTCACCAACTCAAAGACTCCCACAGAGACGCTCGATGTGGTTTAAAAAGAAAAAAAAAAAAAAAAACTGAGTCGCCCATATGCAAAAAATGTGGTGCGAATGTAGTCGAGCTCCCTGACTAATTCATGTAATTTTACAAAGAAATGTTTGGCTTCAGGATTATAAAGCTCCACCGCACACTGATCTTGTGCAGCTTACAGTTCTTCTGGGAAGTCAAATGTCAGTGCAAATTAGAAGGGAAATATCACATTCAAACTTACAATGAGCTGGAGTGATTCCAACTTATGGTCATTATCAGACAGATCAGTGAGTCGTGAGGCTGAAAGCTCAGAAACATTCACAGTGTCAAGATAAGGTGGTAATTCTGATTTTAATTCACACGTTTTCGCATTTCCACCATCTTCCCAAGTTCCGCAACACCACAAAGAGCTTTTACAGAGATTTTATTCGTATTGGTAGCTTAGTTTGTTTAAGAGCAGATTACAGGATGTTTGCATTTTTTGTCAAAGTCTGTATGCAATAGATTTTTCTGCAGTAGTTAGGAGTCTTGTTTCTCTCGAAGGATTTTTTCCTATTTTTCTTGGATGTAGTAATTCACATACACCTTTACTTTCTACGAACTAAGATATTCTAAAAATCTGACACACTCTTATAGAAATTCCTCCACCAGAAAATGATACATATGCCATATACTACAACAAACCCAGACACACATTCACAAAAAACTGATGTGTCAATCAAAGGGTCTATCAATGTCTATCCTTGAGCAACGGTGCCAAGATGACAAACAAGACATCTGGGACTGAGAGTGCAGCTGTGATCGGGGCATGGCAGGAGATGCCTGATTCACTAACACCTACAGAGAGGGCAAGGAGCTAGCAGCCTTATTAGAACCTCATGTCACCTTTGATGACCCTGACAGCAGACAAGAGAGGAGCTTGAGAGACAATGAGATCTGGCACCAGCTGGCAGGGTGACCTGGACCCTGTGGCTGCTGCCCTGGCTCTGCAACGCCAGAGCGTGCACGCTTGGGAGACAAGCCAGGGCCACCGCGAATGTCTGCCCTGATCAGATCTCTCTGGGAGAGAGGACAGCCTCAGGATCCCCATGTGGACAAGTTTGGGCTCGGAGGCCCTCAACCAGAGGGTGCTATTAACCTTGAAACCTACAGTAGCTCTGGCCGATCATGTACAGAGGAGAGGATGACATGCTAGCTACCCAAATGTTAGCAGGATTCCTGGAAATATTTTGGATTTGGATCAAAAGAGGATGATGCAATTTAGGGATCACACACTGGCAATAAGCAGATGTGTTGCAATAATTAATTTATTCATTTAAAAATAAATGCATCTTGCCAATATGCAAATTTCAGCAGAAGAATAAACGGCTCTATGTGCTGGCATGATTTTGCTTTCTTTTTGGACTTGTCATATCTCCCTTCAAATACTTAATTATAAAAGTGTGTAGAAAATGTGAAAAAGATTTTAATGTGGGGTGCTGTGGTGTCACAGTGGCAAAGCATGACCCACATATGGAGGCCTTAGTCCTCGTGGCGGTAGTCGCAGGTTCGATTCACGGCCTTGAGACATTTGCCACATGTCTTCCTCCTCTCTCATTACCCTCTTTCCTGTTGGATTACTTTCAAATAAAGGCCACTAGAGCCAACAAAACCTTTAAAAATAGATTTTAAATGTGGAAAACCTTTGTCAACTGTTTGACATGTAGAACGTTTTCTCACATGTTTTACATGTCAAGGTGCATCATAATGTCACACTGCCTTTGCATTTAGAAGTCAGATATTGCGGATTTCCAGTCAGAAAAACAGCAAGTCTCTCACAGAAGAAATTCCAACCAATTTGGGACCAGTAGGGTCCATATGATCTGTAGAAGATATATTTGTGAACTCGAAAATATAAAGTGGAAACAATAATGGTACTGGCATGCATTGGTAATAGTAGTTAAAACTCAAACAAATAGCAAACCCCACTGACTCATAACTAGAGCAAGCACTGGCTCCAAGATACATCAAAATGTCCAAGTTTGACACACTATTAGATGTTACTACAAAAAAGACTCTTCATATGAAAACATTTCACACGTGACTAGATTGCCCCACATGTTTCACGTTGCAAAATTAAATTAATTTCCATATGTGAAACATATGTTTTGCATGTTACTTAAAATATAATTCCCACATGTCAAAGACATGCTTCCCATTGTACCTTACACAACACATTGTCTGCTTTTGTTAAACGTGAAATTAAACGCAGTTTGTCTAATTCTTGGATAAAAAATGTCACACAGGCAGAGCTTTAGGTTTTTCTTTGTAAAGTGAGGATTGCCTCGTCATTGTGATCCCAGGGCAATGTGTGCACGTCAGCAGGAAGCTTAGCCTGGTAATAAGCAGGTTGTAACTATGATTCCAGTTTCCCCACCACTTGTCAAAAAAATGGTATTGGGTATGAATGTAGGAGACTAGCAAAATGATTTGTTTGATTTGTATTGCTCAATGTGACTAGAAAAATCTACATAATTTTAGTCCTTTACTATTCGACAATTATACTCAGGGTTTCACAAGGAAATGTATGTGTTCTTCATCTTACTTCAGTGTTCTAAAACACAAAACATACATATATATGATTCCTAGATTAATATGTGCTTAATCACGCTCACATATGTATTCATGTGTTTTTTTTTTTGTTTTTTTTTATCCCATAAGGAGACCAGCTTTATCAGCACAGCTTTACAGAACAAATGAATATCATTAAAAACGCTCACAAATGCAGTGGTTGTCACACCGGACAGTTTGCCTTTGTGTTTTTTTTGTTGTTTTTTTTTTTAGTTATTTTATATTTTACCTGTCATGCAAAGAACTTTGAGAAAAGGTGAAAGCTGAGAATCAGGAGGTGTGTTCTTTGTTGCTCCCTCGAGAGTGAGTAAGAGAGAGCAACCCTGAATGTGCCACCAGGGAGCTGCCTTACTGGGGCAAAATCCAAAATGAGCACCAGCAAGGGCAGGCAACCCACCACCCAGAAGCAAAATCATCAAACTTTTAATGACTTGGACAATTACCCCCAGTGAGCCAGCTTAATGGCATCCAGAGGACATCACTAGACACCGCTCACTAGGCTTCACCAACGTTTACTCTAACTAAGAAGACTAATGACTCCTCTGCACCTCTCCAGCATCATTTCTGCTTTAAAACAGGTCCAGACATTGACAGGCCCTCCAGAATTCATGCATGGTGGAGAACACCGGATGTGTGGTTGGTCCTTCTGATTCCACTTAAAGGACAGTGAAGTTGGACAGAGTGGGACTCTCTCCCCACTGTTGCCCTTCCTGAGGCTGGAACTGTGTTTATTTAGGACTGTTCCTTTAGGAAGAAACACTAATTCCCGAAAGAAGATGGACAAATCAGAGTGCTATGATTGTATTAATTGATTGAAACAAAAGTGAACCTGATATAACTCTTATCTGGCATTAAGGCCAGCTGATGAATTTGGTTAGGCCCGTCACTTTTGCAGTACCCCACCATATGCAGTAGGAATTACCCTTTATTACCTACCATTACCATTATTGTGAAATGACTTTAATCATCAAAATAATTGTATTAATTGTGACAAGAGCTGCAGTTTGTTGTCCTGTTGGTGCAGTGTTATTGTCGACAGTGTCTTGTATGGAAAATGAATACAGCACAAATGGCCTACTTAAGTATTTTTTTTTTTATTTAAAGTGCTGGAGTAATAAAAGTTAAAAGCAGAGAGGCAAAAAGATTTAAACTGTCTTCAGACACTGAAGACCGCATGCAAATGGCTTTCCCCTCCTGGTTAGGAGCATGCCCCAGGGAGATGGCACTGTGTGCTTTATGGCCCAAAAAAAAAAAAAAAAAAAAAAAAAGGAGAGCGATATGCACACATATATCACTTAATACCAAAGCTTTATTTTAGCACAGCAGCCTATTGTCACGGCCAACTTTCTGCTGTGCCAGCTAAAATTACCTAAATGCGAGCTGAATTGCCTGCGTTGTGCTGATTATACACAGACATTTAAAATCTGATGAAAATACTAGGCTTTTGGAACACATTAATAATAAGCAATTTCTATTTTTTTTTCCTCCCTGCACATCCTATCTTAGGTGAAGCAATGTAGAAAAAGTGTCTGCACTTTCCTCATAAAGATTGTCTGCAATAAATGGATCAACAGAAGAGTTAATTGGCTTCCTCAGCAATTTAGATACCAACCTGTTTTCCCATAACATTATCTCCTTCCTGTTTGTTTTAACATCTCACAGGTTTCTGCATAACGTGTACAGACTAAAGCCAGGTGTTACACTGATAATTGGGCCACATTCTGGATTCTTTGTGCCACACTTGGCTGAATTTCTTTGATAATGGTTGCAAAAAACATCGTGGTCAGAGTAGCATTGAAGCAACTTGTATCATGCCATATATTGGTCCTGACAGTGTGTCTGCTGTATTTTAATATGATAACAAATGCGTTTTCAAAAAGTGATATAAAAACAGCAAGTGTCCTCTAATCTTCATCTTAAGCAAAATTGACTGCAGTTAAACATAGTTTTCTTGCTGCAGATATCCAAAAGATCTGGTTTTTTATGCAGTGCTTTGCTGTTCAGGATTTTATATTTATCGCGAGCGGACAAGAAAGAATTCTAGCGTTCCCTTCCTTTGCGGCCAGCCAAAGCCAATGCGGCCAAGACAAAGATGGGTGCTGCGTGTCCCTCTGACCCCACCCTGCAAATGAGAGGGTGCTGTGCTACAGTGGCTGCACCTAATTGCTACCAAATAGCTTCAGACACATAGAGTTCCAGCAAATATGGGGCCCAGCCATGCCGCCGGGACCTGGGGGACGAGCCCTACCAAGTACCCACAGTCCATTCCTTCACCACGAGGCCCCTCTGCAGCACGGCACTCCTGCTGCCTCATCAAGTTCTCCAGTTGAAATTGCAGAGTGGCAGGGGAATCGAGTCTGTAAATACGACCGCACTGACAATGAAATGTCATGGTTCCTGTTCAGCTGGCTGGGACGTTGGGGAGGGAGGTTTGTCTGTTTAGATACACCGTGACAGCTGCTGAACTCTGGTCCAAGGTGGCGAGGCAAGCTGAAGAAAACGGTGACTTTCAGACAGTAAACTGAAGATACAGATGTATACTGAGAAAATGAAACATTCTTCATTATTCCAACATACTGAAATTGGAATTTCTTGAATACCGGTACTTTTTTACACAGTATCCAGAAATTATGGGATATTTTGCGTATCTTGTCTTTTTGTTTCCAGACTTGAAAAAAAAAAAAAGTCTGGAAACAAGAGCTTTTAAAGGAAGGAGCGATTTAGCCAGCTATTTCCATAATAATTTCTCAAACATTTAAATCAGCAAAAGGATTCAAAGGTAAAAATACATTTTAATGGAAAACTCATTTTCTACATGTCAGAACATAAAAAAATATATACTCTACGTCTGTTTGGATTCACAATACAACATGTGAAAGGCCATTACAGATCATTTTTCTGGCTAAAAATGCAGACCATGATACTTCCACCATCATGCGACAGTGTAAATATCTCTGGAATGGATCGAGTCTACTTGCATTTTGCAACAACAGAGATATATGTGCAGATCGCAAAGCTAAAAAAAAAGGTTATTGGCATTAGACAACTAATGCAGCTGTATTCTTTTTATATGGCAACCCCACCAAATAGGTCATATTTGACAACACGATATGACACTTTGCTTTTTCGTGATTTGCAGCTAGTAGTCACTGAAACATTATTTATTTCAAATAATTAAGAGCTCTTAAGATCTTGCCAAGATAACAAAACACTCTTCTGCAAAAAAAAAAAAAAAAAAAAAAAAAGAACACCAGATTAGCAATGACAGGTGTCTGGAAACCTGAGATGGATTTATTTATCAGCACCTTCTGTGGAACACCTGATTCTACGTTTGTGAGGCAGAAGGTGTGATAAATATACTCACCTTTTTAATTTGACAAATCTAAATTACACTGAATTTTTTTTTTTTTTTTTTGGTTATTAATTTGAATATATCACATTTATAAATAAGCAAGGCTTCAGACAGAGGTTTGTTTATCCAAATATGGTTGAAATGTTTCACATGAATGACAGAACGGTGTTTTCCCACTTACCTGCCTGTTCCTCTCATCCATAATCCGGGTGATCTGTATCTTCTTCCGCCCCATGGCTGTGCCCTTTCCGGTCTCTCAGACACGTCAACAGTATCAAAACAACACACTTTCTTCCCCCACTCCCTAGAACATTGTGCAACAGGATCTCTTGTTGTGCGCTCTCTTTCACTCTCCTCAGTACACTTCTTGCTCCTCAGCACACCGCACCACAGTCTGAAAAGAGAGGGGGAAAAAAAACGTAATATTAACTTGACACCCAACGATGTCTCTTTAAGTAATCTGAAGCACCAGAGGGTCCTGTGTTCTGTTCTCAGGCAAACTAAGAAAGTGTTAGATACACATGCAATGATCTCTCCTTGCTCCTGTACTTAACCTTTAGTTCAAGTAACTGGAAGTCAGCTTTACATTTTCAGTAGAACAAAGGGACTTCAATATCCAACTAACTTGCTGTGGAAAAATCAAACCATGAAGTACGGGGTAACATTTAGTATGTAAAGAAAAAAGTGAAATCATGGCAGTACCATTGTGAGAGTGACTAACAAGTGAAATAACCCCTTATTACTGTTGCTGAAACAATTCAAGACGGCAGTGTCTGGATAGTGGACGATGCTTCAGGGTGCAGTGCCCAATGATCCTTTTCAAACCTGTTATATTTAGGATCCCCAGTGCTTTTAAATAGAACATAAAGGGAAATGCATCTACATTCTAGCTTCCCTACCTGCTCAACATTCCCAATTTGGTAATATTTATGGTTGCATAAAGCACTGACCCTCATGGAGTGAAAACTTTACATAGGGGCACAACCATCCATTAAGGTCAACGCTGTTTTAAAACAGCAGTTGGCAAGATATGAACAGCATTCCTGCTAGATATACAGTGGTATTTTTACGTGCGACTCTCCTACCATTCTATGCCTGGATGTTAGGTTAGTGTGGTAAACTTGTAGCTCAATACTATTGTTCTAGAACAACACCGCTCTGCATCTATCCATATTTTACCCAAACATAGGTTAGGAAAAATAACTCAAATTGAGTTGATTTTAACCCAATAACTTTGACTTCATGCTGTATAATTTATGAGTTGGAAAGTGTTTTTACTTTAGATGAGAATTCAGCTTCAGCTGTTTTTTTTTTTGTTTTGTTTTTTTATGTTTTCTAAGCACTGACGCTTGCTTTGCTCTTAAGATGATTAAGAAGGTTTCCAGTTCAGTGTTCACATTAGAGAAGCTGAACTCTCCAAGGTTGGAAGAGGAGCCAGTAGGGATAAGAAGAACCAGGGGTAATTCTCACAGGAGCTAGTAACCTGGCCGGTAGTTTAGGGCACAATGTGCCCCAGGGAGCATCTAACGATGCCCTGTCTCTGCTTCTGTGCAAAAAGAGATACTGTCCACTCCCTAGAGGCACATCCATCACTTCCACCTGGCAAATAGAAACTGTCCAAACAACTATCTCCCATACAGTATGAGAACAAATGTGGAAAGGTTAACAACTCCAGCCATGAGATGCAGTCAGCATTTGAGCGGTGAGCAAGACAGGAGCCTGACCTGGCAGGGGAAACGAAAATGACCAGTTCCAGTCACACGCAGTCATTATGGGTTACAGATGAACGGGCATTATGGTGTCTGGCTGTCTGAATCAGGGCTCCACTGTAGGCAAACTTCACTGAGATCACCTTGCTAACTACCCACACACATTTCTGTCAGAGCCAAGCAAAGGAACTGCATGAACCCCCACAAAGAATTTCATCAAACCACATCACAACAGACCGCAAAATAATGACAATGTTCCCCTTCTTTCGCCAATTCAAACATGCAGACTTGACAGCCATGTTTAAATTAGAACGAGCCTGTGAATATTAGGTGCCCTGCGACAAAAATATCTTTCCTAGGCTTTAAGTGCACATCACAAACAAATAAAAGTAAAAGTAAAAATTAAAATAAGGTGACAAAGTGTATTGTCCCCCAAAAGAATCAAGGCATATTTTATACCCATCCCCTGGCTGGTGATGTATGTACATCACACATCCAAATACATATGAGAAAGAATTTTCGAGAGGAATAGTTTAGCTCTGAAATGCCGTAGCCAGAGGTAAATCTGCAGGGTCGACTAAAGAGGGCCATGGGTAAGAGATTTCCTTACAATGGGAAAATATTGAAAAGACATGACCTAAAGTAAGGCAAGACTCCTTACGAATACAATGGAATGCTGTGGTTAAATAAAAATGTACCATTTCATGGTTTTCTTTCTTTAACTTCCTCCAACAAACAAATTGTACCTGGAAAAGTTCTGAATGATCTGTCTTGTCCTTTTTTATTCTTTTAACAAGGTTGTGTACATTTTTGAGTACCGTTGTATTGATAAGGGTTTAGAAATAAACCAGTCAAAATCGAGGTACTTTATTAAAATCGTGTGTTTACTTTTCTGTCTTTAGGCTGTCAGAGTCGAGCAGCTCAAAGTATGAGGCATAGCAGATTGGGCCCAGAGAGCCTTCATGCACAGATGTGAGATGACAAACCAAGAGGGCCTTCGAAGTCCAGGTGTGTCGTGATTCCAGCTGATGTCTTCTGTGATCAAACCCTCTCAAAATACAAAGCTAATAAGACTGTTATCTGAGGGTTTCGCATTTTAATTTCTACAACTACGTTGAAAATGTACAGCTTGATTACTTTACCTAAAGAACTATATCCGAAGATTTCATAATGCAAATCATACGTCTATATGGAGTACAGTATATTTTAAGCATTAAGAGTTAAAATGTGGACAAAGATGTGGTTTATGCAATAGACCTATTTTATTTATACCTGAGATGTGAATATTAACAGCCATGTATTAACTGATTTGTGGAATGTAAAAAACTGTGTCTTCAGAGCAACCAGGATTAGACAAAACATTTCAATTTTGACGTATGAGCTTTTAAATACTGTAACTTCTAATGCACAATTCTGATCTGTCACAAGGTTATTCACCATCTTTTTTTCTGGAGTATTGTAGTTATCTGTTTTATTTATTTATTTATTTATTTCCACCACAAATACAAAATTTTATTTTTATAACTTTAATAAATACAACAACCATGAGACACATTTATTTGTGTAAGTTACATGAGTAGTTTGACATTACACACATTTTTTAAACACTTATAAAAACCCTCTGCTGAAAATAATATCTTTTTTCATTGTTTATAATTTGGTGGTTGTATTTTTCTGATAAAAGTTGAATTACTAAAGAGGCATAAGCATATCTGCTGCATAGCTGACTTCTAACATTTCACTGTAGTTAACTGTTTTGAGAACCAGGTGGTGTAAAATTATATTTTAATGAAGAGTTTCACTGGCACTATAGAGAATCAACAAATTCTCATCCAGTTGCAGAAAATAATTCATTTGCTTTATCCTAAGCAACTCTTCTGCTTTTAGTTGTTTTATGTTTAATCTCAATGTACCGATTCAGACAGAAGTTGAGAGGTAAAGCATAATGTTTGTTCATCTTTGTTCTCACAAGCAAAGATGCCAAAACCTAAATTTTACTGCTAAGATGAAGGAAATAATAATCAAATGATCAAACTACCAAATACTAAGTGTTGACAATGTAAAAGCTGTAAGCCTCTTGAGCACAACTAAATTATTCACCTTGATATTGTAAGCAGCATTAAAAAATAACTAATATTGTAAAAATGGATGCAAAGTCCTGTATTGGCTGTCCTAGTATCGGTACTGGCTGCAAGATAACTTGTGAGAATTGCTCAGTTAAACTACATCCATATTTTTGCATCCTCTGCTGCAAAATATTTTTCCCTGCAGCAATAATATTGAAATTGAACCCAGATGAACCATAAAATGAATCTGTATGCCATTTAAGTTATAACTGTTTTGAATCTCTCCGAAAACAGAAGATATTGCTTTCGTGCCCCACATTTAACCAAAGAAAGGATTAAGTTTAACTCGCATGATCTTGGATTTGCATACAGAACAATTGAAAACAACCGCTTAGAATGAACTACTCTTTTGAGTCTTAGATGTTTTAGTTCTTAGGTCAGAAATATTGGGAGGAGAAAGACAAAATCAGGGAAATTGAGCCTCTGGGGAGCTGTTTCACTGAAGCTGCAGTCATATATTGATCTGAATATGTCAATGGCAAAAAGAAACACTTACATTTTGAATAATGTCAGAACTGTGTGATTAAAGGGTTTTCACTCAATATTAGAAACAATCTAAAAAATGATTGTCGCTATTGTTAGTAAAGCATCATTTCAGAATGAGAGTTGCTAATAATTTAATTTAAATGGTATTTTCTGTTCTGACTTATTACTTTGTAATCAATTTATAGTACCTTTGTAGCTCCTCTGCTTACATCGCAGCAACATTTTAAAATCTTTAAAATAAAAGAAAAACTGGAAACCCAAAATCACATACTATTTCTAAGCAGATTCATTTTAAATTATTAGCACATTAAATTAGTTTTGTGTTTTATCTTTTTTATGAATGAGGTGAACAACTAGGGTCATCGTTCAAAGGACGTTCAAAGGAATATATTGTATTTTTCTAATCCCCAACTGCTTCATCTAACCATGAAGTTATCAATTTTCTACAGTTTCTCACAGATGACAGGCTAACTTATATGATATAATACAATGCAACTGTTCAATCTCAATCCAGAGTGAGAGTTTCTCCTAATCCGGAAATTTCCTTGCAAAATTCAAAGCATATTATGTTTATTTGTGGGTCTAAATTGGTGGAAGGTGTTTTTATATATGTCTTTGTTTGACTGCCTCTCTGTGGAAAACTTCTGACTATCCTTCTCACATGATCTTAGCCTACAGCTCCTTTGTGACTCAGTAAAATATAAATACCAATAAAACTTTGAAAGAAATATTTGTTCTGAACTTCACATTTTTTCACATATTCTGTAAAAAATTACAAAAGGATATCAGATGGAAAAAACGCATTAGCCCAGCATCTTTATGACTTGAACGTAGCAATCTGCATGTAACACCATTAAAAAGACCTTGGTATAATCCAGTGTACCTGACCCGCTCTGATATAATCACATCTAGCACTTCTGAAAGATGCTTACCTAACATTTGTAACACATAAATCAATGTGCAAAGAACACGTCGCCATAGAAACGGCCACGTCAGCTTGACAGAAAGTCAATAACACACGACTAACACAACAAGTCCTGGCCTTACTGAAGTGTGTCCCCCTGTTCAGCACA